ATCGATGGGACCCAGGAGAAATGGTAGGATTGGAGTGACCAAGGTCATCGCTGCTGCACTCCACTGGGCAAACAGAGTGGAGACTCCCATCTAAAAAAACAAACCAAAAAACGCAACAAACCAAAAAGAATTCTTGTTGTTCCAACCTGAGGAAGCTGATTAGTAAGCCAGAAATAAAAAAAAAAAAAAATAAAAATACTTTTTAGACTGCACCAGTGGCTCATTCCTGCCAATCCCAGCACTTAGGAAGGTCGAAGTGAGAGGATCTCTTGAGCCCAGGAGTTTGAGACATCCAGCCCTGGGTAACTGTGACGAGACCCTCGTCTCTGTATAAGATTGCTGGGCATGTGGGCATGTGGGCATGTGCCTGTGGTCCTAGCTATTTGGGAGGCTGAGGTGGGAGGATATCTTGAGCTCAAGAGGTCGAAGCTTCAGTGAGCTGGGTTTGCATCACTGCACTTCAGCCTGGGCAACAAAGCAAGACCCTGTCTCAAAACAAAACAAAACAAAACAAAACAAAACCCAAATAGGGCCAGGTGTGGTGGCTCATACTTGTAACCTCAATACTTCGGGAGACCGCGGCGGGCAGATCGCTTGAGCTCAGTTTGAGAGTTTGAGACCAGCATGGGCAACATGGCTAAATGCTATCTCTACCAAAAAATACAGAAGTTAGCCAGGTGTGGTGGTGCACACCTGTAGTCTCAGCTACTTGAGAGGCTAAAGTGGGAGGATCGCTTGAACCCGGGAGACAGAGGTTATAGTGAGCTGAGATCATGCCACTGTGCTCCAGCCTGGGTAACAGAATGAGACCCTGTCTCAAAACAAAACAAAATGAAAAATTTGCTCAATGCTAATTATGTGCCAGACACTGTTCTAAGGGTTTTATAGATAATAAACTAATTCAATACTCATACTGAATCTATAAAGTAGACATTTACCACCCTCCTTTTACAGATGATGCTCCCAAGGCACAAAGAGGTTTAATAAGTTGCCCAAGGTCACAGAGGTGTTAAGTGGTGAAATCAGAATTTGAATTCCAGACACCTTTGAATTCCTCTAGAATTTGTGCTTTTAGTCATTATGCTATATTAAACTTAAGTGCTTTAGCTCTTTATTTATGTATTATAAAATTAGAATTGAGACAAGAGCCAGTTGTCATGGGGATGCAAATTAATGCATTTATGGAACCTTTTAAAAATAAAGGTAGATTTTCTTATGGACAGAAAATCTGTTTGATTTGGCTAATTGGTTTGACAGTGAGGACAGACTTTGCCAACTGGATTATGTGGTAGACATTTTCCATAAACTGAACAAATAAAATCTGTAGCTCTAAGGTTTGGATGAAAATATATTTAAAACATGTCTCTAACAAAGAGTATGACAAAAGATTTGATCTTGGGCCGATTTTAACTTGTAAATAAAATAATTGTAGTATATTAAGCCTTTAAATAATGTATGAGAGAGAAC